CGCCAGTGAGGGGCTGGGGTGTGGCTCAGTGGTAGAGAATTTGCCTAGCATGTGGGGGACCCTGAATATAACCCCTCGCACCACAATTGAGTAATGATAAGAGTATAGAATTCTTCCTACGTGGTGTCATGGTTTACACTTGTAATTCTAATACTTGGGAGGTGGAGGCAGGAAAATCACAAATTGGATGCCAGCCTGGGTTATATAGCAAGACCCTGTCTCAAGAAGCAGGGACCAACACCTTTAATCCCAGCATTCAGGAGGCAGTGGCATTCAGATGTCTGTGACTTCAAGGCTAGCTGGTCTACATAGAGGGTTCCAGGTCAGCCAGGGCTATAGTGAGACATTGTCTCAAAACAAGACAAATAAACAAACAACAACAACAACAACAACAAAACCCTCTGCACAACACCATTGGCACTAGAGACCTAAAGGCTCATCCCAGGGTTGGTCCCCACAGTGCTGGGGACTGCCTGGTGTTCCTGGTGTGTGGAATTCTGGGCAGGACCACGGGTTCTGGGACACCTCAGCTGGCATAGCCTATGGCAGGATTTCTCCACTGGGTGGCTTCCCACAGTGGCCTCCGATGACCTGAGGTAGGAATCCTCTTCAGGAAACATTAGCGATTTGCTAATACCCTTGTGCAGGTGACAGCTATCAAACACCGCTGTCAGGGCTGAGCGGGAGCTGTTAGTGTTCCGGACATCCATCCCCTCCACTGCTCTCAGAGAGCTTCGGCAAGCCTTCGGTTCATTTGGCCTACACCATCCCACTGTGGTGTCAAAGTTCTGACAGGGCTGGGGAAGACCTCCCTGGAGCAGCAGTGAGACAAAGAACACCGGGCGAGGAGCAGCTCTGCTGTGCCATCAAGGCCAGTTTTCATTTCTTTTTTTATTTTTACTTTTTTAGACAAGGTCTCACTAGGTTACAATGGCTTCCCTGAAACTTGCTACGTTAAACCAGGCTGGCCTTGACCTCACAGAGATCCACCTGCCTTGCCTCTCTCCTCAGTGCTGGGATTAAAGGTATGTGCCCTCACACTTGGCTCATTTTTAAAAAAAATATTTTTATTTTGTGTATGTGCATGATATGGGATTCCCCTCTGTATGCTGTGATTACTATGAATAAATAAAGGAACTGCTTTGGGCCTTTAGCAGAGCTACAGGGGAACAGAGCTAGGTGGGGAAAACTAAACTGAATGCTGGGAGAAAGGAGGCAGAGGAAGTGAGAAGCCATGTAGCCCTGCCAGAGATAGACACCGGAACTTTTCCCGGTAAGCCACAGCCTTGTGGCAACACACAGATTAACAGAGATAGGTTAAATTAATATGTAAGAGTTAGCCAATAAGAAGCTAAAGCTAAGCCGGGCGGTGGTGGCGCTAATCCCAGCACTTGGGAGGCAGAGGCAGGTGTGTCTCTGTGAGTTCGAGACCAGCCTGGTCTACAAGAGCTAGTTCCAGGACAGGCTTCAAAATCACAGAGAAACCCTGTTTCGAAAAACCAAAAAAAAAAAAAAAAAAAGAAGAAGCTAAAGCTAATGGGTCAAGTAGTGTTTTAAATAATATAGTTTCTGTGTGATTATTTCTGGAGTCTGGGCATCCGGGAAACAAACAAGTAACTTCTTAGAACATGTGCACAGGTGCGTGTGTGTGTATGTGTACATGTATGTGTGTGCAAGTGCTGTGGGTACCCAGAGATACCATTAGGGGACTGGATCCCCTGGAGCTGGAGTTACAGGCAGTTGTGAGCTGCTGAGGTGGGTGCTGGGGACCAAACTTGGGGCCTCTTGGAAGAGCTTTAAGTGCTCTTAACTGCTGAGCCATTCGCCAGCATGCCTGCCTTTCAGGTTCCAATAATTCTGCAGGAAAGGGGGTGCAGGCGATGCCCCGGGGTACATGTGGAGGTCAGGGGCCAACTATGTGGAGCTTGCTCTCTCTTTTCACCTTTATGTGGGTCCCCAGGATCAAGTTCAAGCTTCCTAGCTTTGGTGGGGAGTATCTTTACAGGCTGAGCCGTCCTGCCTATGCTCCAAGGCCGGCAAGTCCTACAGATGTGAGTTTTACCAGTGCTGTGCTGAGCCAGTGTGTGTGCTGCGCTGTGCTGAGCCAGTGTGTGTGCTGTGCTGTGCTGAGCTGTGCTGTGCTGAGCTGTGCTGTGCTGAGCCAGTGTGTGTGCTGGGCTGAGCTGTGCTGTGCTGAGCCAGTGTGCTGTGCTGTGCTGAGCTGTGCTGTGCTGAGCCAGTGTGTGTGCTGTGCTGTGCTGAGCCAGTGTGCTGTGCTGTGCTGAGCCAGTGTGCTGTGCTGTGCTGTGCTGAGCCAGTGTGCTGTGCTGTGCTGAGCTGTGCTGTGCTGAGCTGTGCTGTGCTGAGCTGTGCTGTGCTGTGCTGTGCTGTGGAGGCTTGGGCTGTTTTTAAGGCTCTCCATTTTCTTGCCCCTTTCCTGTGAAGGGACTAGGAAGAAGGGAAAAGCCACAGGAAACCAACACAGGCTTAACTCCTTGCCTGCCATCTTGCTGCTGGCTTAGGATGCCAGAGCGAAAGGAGTTGTTTAGTTGTCTATGAAGAAAAGCCATTGGTTTACTTTATATACTGGTATACTTTTAGAACAATATTTATTATGTGTGTACATCTGTAACATCCGTACTACTACGTGTACTACGGTGTATAACATCCGTACTACTATGTGTACTACAGCACCTGTACTACGTGTACTACAGCACCTGTACTATGTGTACTACGCCTGTAGCATAGCCTGCACTCTGGGAAAGGGTTCTATAGACAAAGACACACAGGTCATCCTTGAATTCCCCAAGAATGCCCCCTTAATTGTGTCCAGGGGCAGCTTATATAGGGATCCTTAACTGATAGCCACGCCCCAGCCGAACCCACCAGAAACCACTCCCCTGCCATCAGGAACTCATGAGGGTCTCATGCTCAGAGCAGCTGCAAACACAGGAAAACAAGTTGTTTGCAGGAAATTCAGGGTCTGAGGGTCCACAGCCCCCAACATACATTTATGGCCATGAGTGTGCCAGTGGGTGGAGGTCAGAGGACTCAGCGTTTGGGAGGGAGTTCTCTCATTCCATACAGAGGTCCTGGTGATGAAACTCAGGTGGCAGCCTTGGTAGCGCGCGCCATCACCCAAGAAGCCGTCACCGTATCCCCACTGGTGTCGGAACAGTTCAGGCGGCTAGGGATGTAAATCTCCCTCACTCATCGGCAACACCTACATAGAACTAGAACAATGGCTGAGAACAACACCGTGGGCTGGAGGACGGCTCAGCGTCGAGAGCACTGGCTGCTGGGTGTTGATCCCAGCACCCACATCACTCACAACTCTCTGTCACTTCAGTTCCGGGGAATCAACTCCCTCCTCTGCGGGCACCGGGCATGCACGTGGGGCACACACATACATGCAGGAATTACACTCATACACACAAAATATATTTTTTTTTAAAAAAAGAAGGCTGTATTATTTTCTATTGGGAAGAAAAAGAAGAAGAAAAGGACATTACCAGGCAGATATCCTGTATACCCGTCACTGTAGTACTTGAGAAAAGAACATGGTGAGTTCAAGGCCAGCGAGAGCAACCTATGATCCTGTTCACACACACACACACACACACACACACACGTCTCCCCAAAACTCCATTATCTGGGAACCTGCTGAAACTCTCGCTGAGTTAGTAACACCCATTTTTGGCGCATAAAGGTCTCCATTTTCTCGTGTGTGTGTGTGTGTGTGTGTGTGTAATTTTCTGTTTTTGAGGCAGAGCTTCAAACTTTGTGTAGTGAGAACGATCTTGAACCACCCCTTGCAGTTGCCACCAAGTCAACTGTTCCCCGTTTTTTCCCTCCGTTCACGGCTTTGTAGAGACTGCGAAGGCACACTCACGCCCCCGTGTGGCGGCAGCGAAAATCACCGCAGCCTTTGCAAAAAGCCCCCCAGCAAGCCACAGGCACCAGGATCACAAAGTCGGGGGACCCTTTCCCAAGTCTAGCTGATCCTTGAGCCCTGTGAGAATTCATTGGCCCTAAAAGTTAGAATCTGTTACTTATCTTGTGTTCGCGGGTGTATGGGTGGGTGGGGTGCGCACAAGTGCCACGTGTGGAGGTGTGGAGGTCAGGGTCAGAGTTGCCAGGACCGGTTCTCTCCTCCTACGCGGAAACAACTCAGGACAGGTCAGTCTCACCCGCCCTTGTTTTAACTGAGCAAACATCAGTGACCCTTGGAAACCAGGAGAGGTGCTGGGACGGGGTAGAGGTGAGGTTAACCCTCTCCCATCTAGTGCAGTTTCACAGACTGCTCCACGCTCGATGTTTCTCTGGAGCATTTGGCCGGGTGTAGCTTCTATCTACACCTCCAGGGGTCACCTGAATGCTGGGGTGCGGCAGGATGGAGGATGTGACTCAGACCCAGGGGTTCACTGGCTTGATAAAGACCTGCCACTGAGGCGTGTGCCAGGAGGGAGGGTCGCCGTGGCCACTTGATCCTGAACTGTGAGTGGGTCTCTTTGTGGCTCCAAAAGCACAAGCTGATGGCGATCAAAGGGTCCACACGTTGCACGCTCCCGCCGTAGAGTCGGTGTGGGCAACACTCCTGCCACCGGAACATTTATTAACTTCCAAAGAGCTTAATCAGACAGGCCCAACGGGACATGGGGTACAAGGGGTGGGGTGGCTGGACAGTGTGGGCAGGCAAGTCAATGAGCCTCAGGTGTCGCCATCGAAGAGAACGGGAGAGCTCTGCGGGCTTGACCAGGCTGAGGCTGGAAATGCTTGCTTCCCTGACCCCTGCCTGAGTGGATGGTGCAGGCAGGCGATGAAGAGGTTCACAGGGGCGCATGCGCCGGCCCTGCTGCCACGTGGCTACAGCACACGGGCGCCCCCGCGCGGTGCTAGTGGGGACCACCGGCTTTGTCCCGGAGAGCTTTTTCCTTTGATGGAATTCTGTGGTCCCAAAGAGCTCCCCATAGTAACTGAAAGAGTGTGACCCTGAGGGCAATTTTTTAAAAAAGATTTTTATTTATTTGTTATGGATACAGTGTTCTATCTGCATGGATGCCACCAGACCGAAGAGCAGGCAGTGCCTTAACCTCTGAGCCATCTCTCCAGCCCCCCCCCCCCCGAGGGCAATTTGAGGGCACGTCATCTCCCCAACAGAAACAGATCCCACATCTGGACAGGTGTCGGTCCGAGATTCAAAGCAAGGCAGACCCCTCGAAAGTCACAACCAGCTTTGCCCGAGGCCATGTCTAACACTGTGTGTGGCGCATAGCAGGTGCGCGATAAATGATGTGGAGTGAGCGGCTGAGTGTGGGAACCATCTCTGTGTGTAGAGGGGCTGGGGCAGGGAGCCGAGCTGCCATTGATAGCCATTTACACATTTACACTGGCGAGTCCCGGCCTCAGAAAGCGCCAGGCTCTCGGGACAAGGGTGGTACTTCCGGACTAACCACCTCCTCCAGCCTTACATGAAGGAAGTTAAGCAGACCCCAACCTGACCGCCACCATCTCCAAATGTATTTACAGACAGAGGGACAGAACCAGAAGAGGAGGATACAATAGCCAGGCAGCTATGAGGGGCTGGGAAGATGCAAGACCCCCTACAGGGCCTGTATCCCTGCTCTCTGTCCCTCAACCCAGGCCCAAGCTGCAGAGACCAGGCTACGGGCTGAGGCTGGGGAGGGGGTCTAGGCTAGGGTCACAGCCCACCGGCAGTGTGGCAGCCTCGCTGGGAGGGATATGGTGTGTCATGTAGCGTTTTCCCATGAAGGAGCCAATCCGGAGCTGCTCGGGGGCTTCCTCGGGCCACCACAGGCTGGAGCTGCACACGACAGAAGAGAGAGGAGGTGGGTCACATCACAACCCCGTCCAGAGGCTGCCACACGACAACTGCATCCTGTCCCCAGCATACTCATCCCTCAGCCTGCCCCCTCACCTATCCTTATGGGTACACATGTATGTGGTATGTATGTGTGCACATGCATTGCCTGTGTGGAGGCCAGAGGTTGAGTTGGGTTAAATTGTCTGGACACTGGAGAGATGGCTCAGAGCTTAAGAGCACTGGCTGCTCTTCCAGAGGACCCAGTGGCTCCCAACCATCTATAACGAGATCTGATGCCCTCTTCTGGCCTACAGGCATACAAGCAGGCAGAACACGTCTGTTGGGGGATGCACATACTACTGTGTGTGCTTGTAGAGGTCAAAGGACAACTTGCAGGCCTCAGCTCTCTTCTTCCACAACGCGGGGGCCAGAGACCAAACTCAGGCCATCAAGCTTGGTGGTGGCGAGAGACTTTACCCACTGAGCCATCCTGACAACCTGAACCCCTTAAAGACTGGCTGGCCACAGGGTCTAGGGACCCATCTCCCTGGGTTAAGTTACAGACATGCACAGCCACATCTGGATTGCAGGCAGGGCTGGGGCTCTGAACTTGGGTCCCTGTTTGTGCAGTGAGCCCTGTTCTTACTAAACCACCTCCCTGGTCTCCCTTCCCTCTGTTTTGGAGACAGCTGGAGAGGCAGTTACCGAAAGGATAAGCCCCCGGGGAAGAGCCCTGACCCTGTCTTCGGGTGAGTTACTGTCACCCAGGCAACAGATGCAGAGTGGAAACCCTGTCCACACAGCCTGGAAGGACACCAGCCAGCTCAGGACCGCTGCATTCCCGAGAGGCTTCCCCGATCTAGGGATCAGGACAGGGAGGGGGTCCCGGGTGGAAAAGGTACCCACAGGGTATCATCACTCACAATCGCATAGTGGAGGCTGCCAGGAAGGCCAGGAGCAGAAGGCCGGCCAGGGCAGAGAGGATGGAAGCCATAACAATCATGGAGCCACTCCGCCGACCGGGCCACGTGTCAATGGAATCGGGGGCTTTCCCTGCACACGTAGGAATCATTCAGAGGCTGTCTGTCCACCGCAAGGCTGTCTGTCCCTCCCCATTCGAGTTCAGTGCACTTCAAGGCTTGGCCGAGAGTCTCCTGAGCTTGTCCATCTCCACCAACCTGGGTCAGCCATTGTTCCAACCTCTTCTACACTGAGTTTGCCTTCTAGACTGTTCCCTCCAGTTCCCCACCACTGTCCACATGCAGCAGCCAGATTCAGGACTCACCTCGTCACCATGTTGGTCCCTACCTCTGAAGGCACTGAAGGCCTTCAGATGACAGTAATTTGTCACCCCACACAATCGCGTTGGAAGCCTGCCTCTGAGGCAACAGCCACCCCCAACACTGGCTACTACATGGAAGATGGCATTGGGCCCTTCTCCCTGTGTGCAGCGGAGAGGACCTGGGGCTGATGAGGCAGAGACTGGGCAATTAAGCAAGGGGTGGTAGATGATGAGATGGGATTAGTGGTGCACATCTGTAAGCTCAGCTGCCTGGAAAAATGAGGCAGGGGATCTCAAGTACAGGCCATCCTGGGCTACAGAGGAGAGTCAGAGCCAGCTTGGGCAACTCTCAGACCCTACCTTAATATATAAAGTAAAAAGATGGTTGGGAATGTACTTCAGTGGTAGAGCCCCTGCCTAGAATCCCCCAGTGAGGGGCTGGGGTGTGGCTCAGTGGTAGAGCCCCTGCCTAGAATCCCCCAGTGAGGGGCTGGGGTGTGGCTCAGTGGTAGAACCCCTGCTTAGAATCCCCCAGTGAGGGGGTAGGGCCATGGCTTTGTGGTACAACGCTTCCCTGGCACAGATAAGATTCAATGTCTAGTACTGGAAACAAAACCAAAGTTTTGGTGCCGTTGTGATGGATCTGACCCAGGCCCCACTCTACAGCATGAGGTTCGGGCAGGGGTTGAGTCAGTCTTAGATCCCTCACCCCAGCAGTACCTTGATGCAGATAAATGGGATTGGACCACTTCGTCTCAGCCTTGGGTGGACCACTGGCATCCATCAGGAGGAATTTCACCCTGGAGACAGCAAAGCAATGGGGACAAAAGGAAGACTTGAATGTCTCATGGTGGCACAGGCCTGATATCCCAGGTACTCTGTAGGTTGTGGAAAGAGATTCCTAAGTTCAGTGACTGCCTGGCTACACTGCAAGACCTTGTCTCAAAAATCAAAGGTGAAAATGTGTTGCGGATTCAGCTCAGTGGTAGAGCCCCTGCCTAGAATCCCCCAGTGAGGGGCTGGGGTGTGGATCAGTGGGAGAGCACCTGACTAGAATACACAAACTCTTAGGCTCAATACCAGTACAACAAGATAGCATTACTGATCTCTGGAGTCTATGGGAGCCACCCAAGTGAGAAGAAAGCATGCCCTCAAATTAAGAGTCCTGGCAAAGGCACAAGGGTGGGACTGGGGTGTGGTCAGGGCCTGGAGTGGGAGGACTTGGCATGATGCTCTCTTTCATGGGTGGAAGCTCTGGGGAGAGAGCACGGTGGGGCCAGCAGAGGAGATGGAAGGAAGCCAGCACTGGAGCTGACGGGAAGTGGACAGTGGAGCAGCTGAGAGAAAGACGCAATAGCCAGCATCCGTGATGGAGCAGAGGGAGGCTGGACAGACAGATGCCATCTCCTGAGACTGTGTCCTGCATTCTAGACTCCCACTGCTGAGTCTCTGAGGACACCTGAGATCTTCATCTCAGGATGGACACTGAAGAGAACTGTGTTTGAACTCTAGCACAACAGGCCTCAGTTTCTTCATCTGTACTATGGGTTGGGAAGTCATGCATTCTGTCAGAACTGTTTATGACCAAAATAGTGGTCTCATCCTTAAACCTGCCTTCCCCTCCTAGGACACATTTGGGAAGGACTCTCTTTTCTTTTTCTTCTTTCTTTTTCTTCCCTTTCCTTTTCTTTTTTTTTTTTTTTTTTTTTTTTTTTTTTTTTTTTTTTTTTTTTTTTTTTTTTTTTTTTTTTTTTTTTTTTTTTTTTTTTTTTTTTTTTTTTTTTTTTTTTTTTGAGATTGAGTCTCATGTAGCCCAGGCTAACTTAGAATTCAATATACAGCCGAGAATAGCCTCCACTCCTGGCTTTCCTATCTTCTCACCTCGAGTGCTGGGATTACAAACATGTACCCCCACTCCTAGTTTGTGGAGTGCTGGAATGGAACCCAGGACTGCATGCTTGCAAAATGAATGCTAGCAACTGCGTTCCACCCCCAGCCTGACGATCTTTTAACCCGGTCTTATGGAGCTGCTTGCCTCAAACTCATGTGGCTGCAGCTGGCATTGAACTCCGATCCTCCTGCCTCTGCCTCCAGAGTGTGGAGGTGCCACTGTGATCAAGGCACGGAAAGGCCATTTTGATGACCCGCTATGCAAAGAAGGTCAAGTACAGCTAGCCCGGGGAGAAGCTGTGACTAGCGGGCATTCAGGAGAAGGCCCTGGAGGGGCAGGGTCTAAGAAGTTCCATCTCCCTTCCTGAGAACACCCAACCCCAGGGCAGGGGCTCCAACGACGCACCTGTATGGCCCCTGGCTGGGGAGAGGAGCATTGCAATAGGACTTCTGGTAACAGCCGAAGTCATTGCCGACTCGAAGCACACGGACACCTCCACTGCCACTTGCCAGACCCTCACAGGGCAGCTGACCCAGGGACAGGGGTAATGTCATATAGTAGCCGTCAGTCAGTAGCTGTGGTGAGGTCGGGATTATAGCAGAGGTCTGTGGGTTCTGGAAGTCCCTGGAGGCTGGAGGAAAAAGGGTCAGAGAGAGGCAAGAGCAGGGGCTGTCTTCATAGCTGTGTTAAGTATACTAATACAGAAGGGTGGCGAGATGGTTCGGTGCTAAAGGGGCTTGCTGCCAAACCTGACGACCTGAGTTTGAGCCCCGGGACCCATGTGGTGGAAGGAGAGCACTGACTCCCTCAAGCTGTCCTCCGTATTCCATGTGAACACCCCTGAACCAACACATATATAAAACTAGAGAGCGGCCAATGGCTTCTTCTGTCCCAGGAGACGATCTTCTGAGGCATGCCTGGTTTCTCCAGGTGACATGATGGGATTATTTTAGAGAGGCAGGATTATTTTAGAGAGGTGAGGTTATTTTAGAGAGGCGGGATTATTTTAGCGAGACGGGATTATTTTAGAGAAGTGTCTCAACATGGGGGTTGAATGCCCCTTTCACAGAGGTCGCGTATCAGCGCTGCATATCAGACATTTACATTGCGATTCCTAACACTAGCAAAATTACAATTCTGCAACAGCAATGAAAATAATTTTATGGTTGGGGGTCACCACAGTATGAGGAACTGTATTAAAGGGTTGCAGCACTAGCAAGGTTGAGAACCACTGTCCTAGGGGGACCCAGTGTCTCAAAGGGACACGCTGTGATCTAACACTCAGTTGGTAGAGTACCTGCCTTACAGTATATAAACCCTGGCCTCTGTCCTCAGTACAACGTGAACTGGGCAGAAACAAGATCAGACCCTGCCGAGAGAGAGAGAGAGAGAGAGAGAGAGAGAGAGAGAGAGAGAGAGAGAAGAGAGAGAGACAGAGAGACAGAGAGACAGAGAGACAGAGACAGAGACAGAGAGAGGACTGTCCCTGGAGGGCTTTACCCACTGGTTTACCCACCTGGAACATACCTGGCCAGTCTCCAATCCTGATGTTTACATCAGAGACCAAGTCAACACTGCCATCCTTCAGGTGCCCCGAACAGCCCCTCTCAGCCTATGCCCCTTCCCCCAAGGCTCTGGGTCCTCACCACACACCATTGTTGAAAGCCACCACCAGCCAGATGGTGTCATTGGCTAAGGCACGCTCATCAAAGACGCACCGAGGCTGCTCCAGACAGAAGGTGGTGGCTGTGACCTTCCCTTCCAGGTCCCAGGCTGTTATCTGCGGCTCATAGGGAATCAGGTCTGTGGCCACGGGGAACAAAGGTGAAAAGCAAGCTAGACATGGCAGTTCTGTGGGCCTCCCCTTCCCCAACCTGTTCTCCCAGCTCAGGAGGTGGGATGGGTTTCAGGTACCCCAGGTCCAAAGGCATCCATTGCGGGAGTTCCACTTACCTAGACTCAGGCTTCGGGACAGCCACAGCAGCAGCAGGAGCAGAGGCTGAGGCTGAGGCGGCCTCCTGGTGAGCCCCATGGCTGTCACAGCACTTACAGACAGCAGAGGCAGGCTCAGGGGCTGGTCCTGCTACTCCCCACCTCCAATACCTCTGGCCTACAGCTGCTGCTTCCTTGGGCTGCCAGGAGAGCAGGAAAAACTTGAAAATATGAATTCACCCCTTCTCACTCCCAGCGGGTCCAGCCCATCACAGGGAGGGGCTAGGTGGGCTCCTGTATGGGGCTCCACGCCAGAACTACAGGAGAGGGGCCATTTAGGACCGGCCTTCACATGACCTTTAGGCTCCCCCACCCCTGAGCTGACTAGCTGTCTAGATTGTGGTACCACCTAATTCCTTGCTCCCCCCAATCTGGGCCCAGAACCACATGCCTGAGATTCCTGAACCCTGGGTGCCAGGAGCCACCCTCTGACCATCCATCCCCACCCAGGAAGTGAGGAGCAGGGAGCAAGCCTAGGGTAGGCTGGCCCTGACCAGCCCCAAGCAGCTCCGGGACACTGCTGCCCTCTGTGTAGCCTCTGCCCCAAGGAGCCACATCTTCCCCAGCTCTGAACCTCCACGTCCTTCTCCAGGAGAAGACTTTGACCTCTGAAAGGACAGAACAAATCAAACTTTTCACTTATGCAAACCCTTTGAGTCTCATTCTATGCGGTTTTAAAATTGTTTTATTTATTAATTTAGGTTTCCTGAGACAAGGTTTCTCTGTGTAGCCTTGAATGTCCTGGAACTCGCATTGTAGACCAGACTGGCCTCGAACTCACAGATTCGCTTGCCTCTGCCTGCTAAATTCTGGGATCAAGGGTGTGTGCCACTACCACCCGGTCCATTTATTTTTGAGACAGTCTCATGTGGTCCAGGCTGGCCTTGGACTCACCGTGTAACAGAAGGTGATGATGCTCCTGCCTTCACTTCCCAGCTGCTGGGGTCACAGGTGGGCACCGCAGCTTCTGGTCTACACAGTGCTGGGATGGAACCCAGGGCTTTGTGCATGCTGAGCAAACACTCCACTAACTGAGCTGCACCCCAGCCCACATTCTATGTATTCTTTTTATCCATCCCGACCAAAGTTTCCCCTTCTTCCTCTCCTCCCAGCTTCTTCCCCATCTCTCCTCTGCAGAACCCCCTCCCCAATCCACTTCTCCTCCATTTCTGTTTAGGAAAGGGCAGGTCTCCCAGGAGTATCAACAAAGCAGGGCATATCAAGTTGCAGTGAGACTAAGCACCTCCGCTTGTATTATGGCTGGGCAAGACAATCCAGCCTGAGGAACAGGGTCTCAAAAGCTAGAGACAGTTCCTGATCTTTCTGTGGGACAATGGTCTTGTACCCTGTCACTTGTATTGTTTTTAATAAAATGCTAATTGGCCAGTAGCCAGGCAGGAAATATAGGCAGGGCAACCAGGAGAGGAGAATTCTGGGAAGAGGAAAGGTGCAGTCTGCAGTGGTAGTTGTCATCCAGACACAGAGGAAGCAAGATGAAAATGCCTCCCTGATAAAAGGTACCAAGCCACACGGCTAACACAAACAAGAATCATGAGCTAATATAAGAGTTAATAAGAAGCCTGAGCTACTAGGCCAACCAGTTTATAATTAATGTAGACCTCTGTGTGTTTTTTGGGGACTAAACAGCTACGGGACCTGGTGGGACAGAAACCTCTGTCAACATGATCTCACTGTAACCAAAGCACAGCCTTGAATTTACAATTCTCCTGCCTCAGCCTGTGACACATAGAGCTGGTGGGCCTGTGCAACCAGGCCTGGCTAGTGTTGAATTTATTCTTATTCATTGTTCATTACATTTATTTCTGTGTGTAAGAGGAGGGGTTTGTGCCATGGTGTGCGTGTGGCCAGAGGTCAGCTTCAAGTAGTTCCTCTCTTTCCACAATGTGGGACCTGGAGACAGAACTAGGGTCATCAGGCTTGGAGCCACGTGCACCTATCCAGAGCCATCTTGCAAGCCCCCTTTTCTGAGATAGGTCTATGATACTCAGTATTTTTTTTAGGCCCTGGCTGTCCTGGAACTGAGTCTGTAGACCAGGCTGGCCTTGAACTCACAGAGATCTGCTTGCCTCGGCTTCCCAAGATGAAAGGCGCGCACCACCACGCCCGGAGTTACTCAGTATCTTAATTAAGGTTTCTATTGCTGTGATAAAACACTGTAACCAGAAGCACCTGGGAAGGAAAGGGTTTGTTTCAGCTTACAGCCCTCAGGTTACACCCCATCACTGAGAGGTCAGGGTGGGAACTCAAGGCAGGGAACTCAAAGCAGAGGCCATGGAGGAATGCTGCTTACTGGCTTGTTTGCTGAATGGCTCAGCTTGCTTTTGTGTTTTTTTATTATTTTTATTTTTTATTTATTATGTAGCAAGTCAGAAGAGGGCACCAGACCTCATTACAGATGGTTGTGAGCTACCATGTGGTTGCCGGGAATTGAACTCAGGACCTTTGGAAGAGCAGGCAATGCCCTTAACTGCTGAGCCATCTCTCCAGCCCTTAGCTTATGTTTTCTTATACAATCCCTGACCACCTGCCCAGGAACACTGCCCACAATGGGCTAGGTCCTTTCACATGGGTCATGAATCAAGAAAATGCCCTCCTCGATTTCCCACAGGTTAACCTGGTGGGGGTGATTTTTTTTCAACTGAGTTTCCCTCTTCCCAAATGTATCTAGCAAATTGACAATTTGACAAAACAAACAAAAAAAACAACGACCACCAAAAAGTCCAGGACACCCAGGCTGGCCTTGGGATTCAGGGTCCTCCGGCCTACAAGCCACCCCATGTTGCCTGGGTTCTCTATCTGGCATCTTTGTAGGGCTCACACACTGAGTGCTTCATCCCCTTTTTAGGGTGACAATCCTGTCACATACAAATACCAGACTTGTTTCTTACGGGCAGCTGAGGATTTGGGGTGTTCCAACTTTTTGCCTGTTAGGAACATTGCTACACATAATTTGCATATAACTTCGTTGTGTGGGCATGTTCCGGTAAAATACCCCCGGGAATGAAACTCACAGTCACGTGGTCACTGTTTCTGAGGAACTGTTGCCTAAAGTGAGACAATTTTGCATGCCCAGCAACGGGTAAGTGGCCAGTTCCCCCACCCAGTACTTCAGCAGTTACTTCTGATTATTTGATTTTATGTTTTTGACATAACTTATTCTATGTCCTTGAGTTGGTGGAGACTTCCCTGCCCCGTCCTCTGGGGGGCTCCAGTGTCTTCGCATGCATCTCTTGGTCCTGAGTTGCACTGCCCATCAATCAATCACACAGCACTGTTTTGGGTACCCCAGTCATTTACCCCACTCTGGACATGTTCTTATGTCCACTGTGGGATTGGGGGAAAAAAAAAACCCTCATGCAAATTAGCTAGGTGCTTTACCACTGAGTCATGCCTCTAGTCCGTGACTGTGTGGGTATGTGCGCGTGGATGTCAGAGGCTTCAGCAGCCCTGGGGCTGGAGTTACAGGCAGCCGTGAGTCACCAAGTGTGAGCGCTGGGAACGGGACTCCAGTTTTCTGCAAGCACGCTATGCACACTTCACTGCTAAGCCATGTCACTAGGCCCTGTCCGTTCATTTTTCTGCTGCTACGTTCCAACAATCCCTACTCTGGATACGCTCCCTCAGCAGGTGTGATCTGTGGCATCGTCTCCCTGGACCTCGCTGTCCATCGGTGGCAAAGCTCTAAGACTTTATATGGGAGGCCGTCCAACTGCCGTCCTGAGGCAGAGTGAGTCACAAATGTGGTCTAGAGTGCAGCCAACTTAGAGGCTCTGCCAAGGTAAGCAGTGACCTAGTCCCCAGGACTGACTTACTGGAGCCTTGGGCTCATGACACTTTTAAAATCACATGAAAATGTTCTTTTACAAGCAGAAGAGGAAGAGGGGGAAGAAAGAGCGTAAGAGCCAGAGGTTGGGGGGAGCTCACTGAAATGCTTTCTCCTGGACACATGAAGTCACAGCAGCTGTGGTTACCTAGCAACACTCCATCGTGGACAGGGAAAGGTGAATGAGGCTCCCTGCCCACCTGAGGAGCTGCAGGCAGTGACTGCTAGGAGAGGGAGCCACTTCCCTCCAGCAGTACAGCCAGTGCCAGGGGAGAGGGAGTCGCTCCTCCCCCCACGGTACAGCCCATGTTCCTGCAAATCCTCCCCTCCCATGTTGGTGCAAGCAACTCTACTAGAATTCGGGAGCTCACAGAAATGAGAAAATAGAACAGGGAGAGGTGGAATGAAAGGGTAACAGGAAGTGAAAATGACCAAATAAGGGAAATGTAGGAACCTGCCGGTGTGGTGGTGTACACCTGAATCCCAGGACTAAGGAGGCTGAGGCAGGAGGATTATATGGTTTATAGTGAGACCCGATCTCAATGACCAGGGCCTTAGAGGACGGTGCCCGAAGGTCCTTGCTGGCCACTGTGCTTCTGAGCATCCTCTTGACTGGGAAGCAGGGAGACAGCACTCTGTAAGGGAGGCTGTATGGTAAGGGTGAGGGTGGCTGCGGGGACCACACAGCAAGACCAGAGTCTCACTGCTGAGCTTAGCAGTCTTTGTCCTTGCTTCCTAGGTGGCTTCCTGCTCCGCACACCAAGCTAAGTGTGCCATATGAAGGGACATATCACACACACACACACACACACACACACACACACACACACACACGGGCGCGTGCACTTCTACACAGATACACGTTGGCTGTAGGGTCTTTACTGCAAAAAAAAAAAATTTTTTTTTTTTTGAGGTATGAAAAGCTGGCCAAAAGCTGAGAGGTGTAGGCCCTGCTCACCCCTTGGGTCACAGCCCACCCGAGGCTGGAAGGGCCCCTTCCCGTCTGTGCACTGAGGTAGCTCCAGCTTAAGCCTCCACAATAGGCAGACCCCAGCCCAGACAGGAGGGTGGCAGGAGAGGCAGGGAGGAGCCCCAGCTTCAGGAGGGGATATATCCTGCACCCCAACAAACATTCTTGCCTCTCGACAAAGGCACACCTTCCTGCCCACCCACCCAGGGGGCATTGGGGCGGTCGACAGAGGCAGGCCCAAGGGGTCACTGCTGCTCCAGGCAGTCCTCGGTGACTCCCTGGGCAGCCAGCTCAGCCAGCACGTTCTGCAGGTAGTTGGGGTCTGGATAGCCGTGGCCTGTCAGGTTCCGGTCCATCTCGGTCTTGTGGTGGATCTCGTTCCACACTACCGTGTCTGTCTCACCGGTTGTACTGGATGTCCCCACGGTAAAGATGAGCCGTCTCTTCCAGGCCACCTTCAGGAGCTCCAAGACCTGCCCAGGAGAGTGGAAGGAGGCCCTTTGACAGCCACCGGGGCTCTGCTCTACCGCACTGCCCTTGGCCCATGCACTCCCAGACACCGACCCGCACGTGTGGGCACTCTGGAGCACTTCACACCAGTGCTGACCCAGCCCAGGCCTCTCCATCCTGGTACCACTCTCGAGGTGGCCTTCCCTCCAAATCTGACTGGACCAGCTGCCTCCCTCACTTCTGCAGGCTTCCTGCCCTCATCATGGCCTCCACTATCGTCTGGGGCAAGGAGTGAGACTCGGTGGTAGAGCCTGGCCGAGATAAAGGCTAGCAAGACGGCGGTGGGCGACACAAGCCTGGTGACCTGAGCTTGACGCTCAGGACCTAACGGAGAGGGAAAGAAGGAACTCCAGAGCCAGCTCCCGATTTCTGCATGAAAGCCGCAGCATGGCCCTCCCAGCCCCACACCCCCAAATAAAAGAAAAACATAAACAGAGCCCAGTGCACCATCACCCAGGAGCCAGGTGAGTGTGGTGTTTTAGGTTTAGAGGCGGGATTGGGTCTCACTATGCAGCCCAGGATGGCCTGGACTCCACCCACCAAGTGCCACTGTGCTCGGTTCATGGGGAGCTGGGGACTGAACCCAGGGCTCTCACACACCAGGCAAGCCTGCTACCAACCGAGCCACACCCCAACATACTGTAGCTTCAGAGTGCCTGATCTGTAGCAGCCTGGAGCTTTCTCACCCTGGTGGTTTGGGCCCTGCCCTTCCCAAGGCCCACTTCCAAA